AGCCTCCTCCCACTGCTGCAGCTCTGCGTGGCCCACGCCGAGGCTCTGGCAGACGTTTCCCTCCACCTCGCTCTTCTCAAAGAGGGTTTCGATCACCACCAGGAGGGAGTCGCTGTCCTCCTTGGCATCACTGATGTCCTCATTCCTGCCCAGTCCCCCGGGCTCAGAGGTGAAATCTGCCAAGGAGAACTGAGGCACGCTATCAGCACGGGAGTTGTATATGGACGCATCCTGCTTCATCAAGGCCCCGAGGAGAGAGTTGGGGTCTACCAACTGCTGCTTTGAGTGGGAATTTGCTTGTGTCTGCAACTCCTCCTTGGCTTGGAAGGAGTCCAGGAACCCAGGAAAGTCATTCCCATACAAGACTGCTTCCCCCGTGGCAAAGCTAAAAGGCAGCTGCAGGTTTCTTTTCCGCAGATGTTCCTCCCCTTCTTCATTCCTTTGGGGAAAAAAAGAGATGAAAACAGCATGAGCACCTCCTCTGGGCCAGGCAAAACTGCCCTTCTGACAGCAAGAGAGCAGCTCACAACCCTGCCCTGGCTTTTCTAGAGAGGAAAGGTGCTGGATTGGGCTGGTGGAGGACTGGGGCTCTGGGTTGCCCATGGGGAGGTCTGCATGGCTCAGGGAAGGGCTGAGTGTCCAGGGCTCACTCCAGGCAGGAGCATGTCCACGTCCACTTCCTTGGAGCCGTTTCACTCACGCTGTAGGAGAGCACATACTACAAAGTGCCAACCATGCCCTCCTCCACCCTCATAGCCTCCCTGTGCTGGAGCAGGGGAAGGGAGCCAGGGACACTCACGAGAGCAGGGGAAGGGAGCCAGGGACACTCACGAGAGCAGGGGAAGGGAGCCAGGGACACTCACGAGAGCAGGGGAAGGGAGCCAGGGACACTCACGAGAGGGCTCTCTGGCGGGCGATGATGCAGTCGGGCCTGCCCCCCTTGTAGACGAGCCGTGCGTTGGCCTGCACCCACACCCAGCCGCCCTGCTTGGTCAGCAGCCGGAACACCGTCAGCCCACTCTCCCCCGTCTTCATCACTGGGGCAGAGACACAAGAGAGGTGGCACACACAGAGTTCCTCCGTGGGGGGACACGAGTGACGCGGGCGAGACACCTCGCGCTCCTGCTCTGGGGGCAGGAGATGCAGGATGCTGCCTCTCTGCCAGCTCCCCCAGCAGGTCTCACCCAGGAGGAAGAGCCTTTCTCACAGCTGCTCCAGCCCTGGCACAGGCAGCACTGAGGAGCAATGGTATGGCCTGGCCAGAGCTGCACGTGCAGAGCCTCCCACAAACCCCCCATCCCCACCGACAGCACTCACTCCTCACGTGGTTCTCTGCGCAGTGCATCATGTCAGCCGCGTGCACAAACTGGTACCCAGAGCCCCTCCGGCACAGCTCCGTTTCCGTGTATCCCAGGACAACCTTCCCCCTGGAAACAGCACAGAAACCCTGGGACACTGGGGATGGATCCCCCACAGTTGCACCCTACCGGTCAGACACGACCCCCTGCCAAAGCCTCCTGCTTTGCCTGGTGCAACTCTCCATCTCGGGCTGAGGTACATCCCCTCTTCCACAACACCGCCCTGTGCTGGCTTTGCTGGGCTAAACCACAGCAGACAAGAAGTGCTGGTGCCCGGTTAACCTGCTCCCCGTGTTACTGGGGGGCTGCAGTGGAGTGACAGAAGTACGAGGCACCTTGCCGTGGGAGCTGGCTCAGACACTCCTTGTTCCCACGGGGTCTAGTTTTCTGTCCAGCACCAGGGATTTTGCCACGGGAAAGGTGAGAGATGCCCTACCGGGAATCGCAGGCCATAGGAGTGAAGTCCAGCTTGTGCTTTGTCTGGAAGATCAGTGTCTTGGTCCGCAGTTCCAGGATGGAGAGTGGCTGGAGGAGTGTTGCGATGGCAAAGAGAGCAACGGGGGACTTGTCTGATGCAGACTTCTGCTGCCCAAGAAGGAACTTCAGGCGCCCATGGAGATTCAAGGCCTTAGGGGGGGATTAGAACATGTGGGAGTGAAGCAAACAGGGTGGTGGGAAGTGGCTGCGCTCCCCCCCCTATGGGACACAGGTGTCCCTGAGGGAACACGCTGTTGGGCAGAAGGGGAGCAGAGGGATGTCCCAGCGTGGGGCTGTGTTACCAGAAACCCTGAGGAGTTATCCAGCAAGCAGCGGAAGCGGCAGGTGAAGCTCCTCTCCGTGAAGGATCGCTCCTCAGGACGGACGTGCTGGGGGCTGGGCGTGGCGCTGCATCCAGCCAGCAGCGGCTGCTCAGCGGGAAAGGCTGGAAAACCCAAGGGGAACGGCAGCTTTCCAGGCTGTGCTGCACACCTGGAGCTCACGGCTCAGAGCCGCTGAGCCCACGGTGTTGCCGCTGCAGGGATCAGCGGGCGCTCACCGTGGGCAGCGTGTGCCGGGGGCCTGTGCAGCTGGCGGCGGAAGGCGGCTCTGTCGTCAGCATGGATCAGCTCATACACGCTCTGGTAGATGAGATCCGACTGGAACGACACAAGGGAAGAGCGTCGGCTCCCGGACAGCCTGGCAGAGGTGTCTGCAGGAGGACACGGCCCAGGGTTTTCCTTCGTGGCTGTGAGAGTGCAGTGATGGAGCGTAAGGAACAGGCAAACACCACCAGCTTTGCGTGCTGGGCAGCAAGGAGCAGGACCGGCTGCGTCCTTAGGGATGGCTCGGGAAGGAGGGAAGGGGAGCAGAGAGGGGACCTTCCCAGGGGAATCTTGGGAATGGCTCAGAGGTTTCTAGAAGCAGTAGAAATGGAGATGTGCAGGTAACCCTGGCTGCTCAGGACTGTACATTCCCTGCTTCCCCAGCACTCCCCAGCCATAGCCAAGCAGAGCTTTCCAGCCTCTTGCCCACACCATCAAGGCTGAGGTTCTCCTGGTGTTATCCGGCCCTTCCTTGGATGTTTCACCCTGGCTCTGGCTCTCAGTCCTTAATGGGAAACGCTGAAACTCCAGCTCCTTGCCCTGCCGCAGGAGCTCCTGCGCTTGGGGAAGGTTTGCTGCCCATCTGTGGGGCGAACACGTGTTAACTTCCAGCGTCTTCTCAGGACCAAATCCAGACACAGCACCAGACAGGCTGCAGGGTGTCCAAGGGGATTCGCTTGTGGAGTACAAAATGCTGGTCTGCAACAGCGCACAAAGCTCTCTCCTGCACTGCCATCCCTGGTTCTCAGCAAATGTATTCCACAGGATCAATGTAAAAAACAATTTCAGGTTCGTTCAAAACATTTTGACCAAACCAAGCAATTTCTTTTTGTTTCAGACTTATGCAGGGGAGTTTGCCGTTTTTAAAAAGGGTTTCGGAGGTAACCATGGGAATCTGTATCCCAGAGATCCTGCCAAGCCCACGGGCAGCACAGGCCACTGACTGCCAGGTCCCTGCCCTCAGGAACATGTTGGATGAGAGTCTCCTGCTTAACCAGACATACTTTGAGAAGCTCAGTCCCTGCCTGACAGCAGTTTTGACTTGGGACATCAGCCATGAGGATCCCAGGGAGCTTGAAAAGGGTGCAAAGAGAGGAGGAAGAAGCAAACAACAAGAATCTCCACAGGTGCTCCAGGAATCCCTGCGATGAAACAGGTTTAGCAGCCTCACAACCCTCCTGTCGCCTCAGTCCTTTGGCCAAAGGAGCTGGATTTTGGGGGGACTCAGAGGTAAGAGGGTGGATGTGGGGAGAGGCCTGCTTTTCCTTGGCATCCCATGGTAACTCAGGGTCCTTCAGGGCACTGACACTGCTCCTTGGTGAGATTCCCTCAGCCCTCTAAGTGAGGGCATGTGTGCCCAGCAGGACGACTCAAGAAATATCTCACACCCCTCTTACACACAAAGGCAAGAGGACACAGAGCTGCCACGGCTCAGCTGGCATCTGTTCCCACCAAAGTCACAAATACGCTCCTTGGCTTTCACAGCCCCCAAAGAACGTGACTCATTTGGGAATGTGTACCAGAAGGGACCCAGGGGAGCTGGGAAGGGAGAAGAAATAGCCATGCCAGCGTGGCTATCAGCACCTCCTTCCCAGATGAGCAGTGCATCTGCCTGGATACCGGGAAAACAAGGTACCCACCTGATGGAAGCCCAGGTAGTCCTGCACCGTAGGGGAGATGTAGAAGATGTAGCCATCTCCTGTCACAGCGATGACAAACCCATTGAGTGCCTGAAAGCAGAAGTTGAGCCAGAGTTACCCTCCCCAGCTTCAACCCAGCTGCTGAAAGATGAAATTCCCCGGGTGTTTCTTCAGCATCAGGGGCCGGAGGGGACCTTCTTCATCAACAAGGAACCCCACCAAGAAGCAAAGCACCTGGTAACCATGCAAGACTTCATTCTGTTGGTCTTTTTGTCCCCAGCACGAGCAGTGATCTGGGATGGACTGACCACTTTCTCCAATCCCATGGTGGAAGTCCTCTCGCTGCAGGGCAGCTGCTGCACCAGCAGGGACCAGCTAAGGAGAGGTTTAATGGAGGACCTGGAGCTGGTTTCCTCCTCTCCAGCTGGGTACAGCTACACTCTTCTGGGGCTCTGCTTTGGACAGGATGATCCCTGTGGGTCCCTTCCAGCCCAGGATATTCTACGATTCTGTGATTTCCTCTCACAAAACCTGCTTACAACTTCAATAACAAGCAGCAACGGGTGTGCAGGGGGAAGAAGGGCTCTGAGCCATTCAGGAGCCTGAAGGCTCCAGGACAAGCCTGGAGTCAGTTCAAGCAAACAAAGCTTTCAAAGATAGCAACCAAACTCCAGTCACTCCCTGACCTGACCTATTTATCCACTCGCTAATTTTACGGATGACATCCAAAGACACTTCAAGCCTTGCTCCTCATCCTAAATAGAGGTTATACAAACTTATTTTTCCATGTCTTCTCCCCACACTGTCTCCAATCACCTCCTCCCCTCCAAAACCTGCTTTTTAACCCTTAGCACCCGAGGGCATCTCTGTCCCTCAGACTCATGCTCTCAGCTCTGAGGGTATGTGAACAACTCGTCACAGAGGACACAAAGTAAGACCAAATCCAGTCACCAGCACCATTCAGAGAAGGTGATGCAGCTAAAACCAACACCCACCTTGAAATAAAAAGAGATGGGAAGATCTGGAATATCAGATCCCAGATTTGTGAAAGCCCTGACGCATCAAAGAATCCCAGAGTGTTTTGGGCTGGAAGGGACCTTAAGGATCCTCTTGTTCCAAGCCCCTGCTACGGGCAGGGACACCTTCTACTATCCCAGGTTTCTTCAAGCCCTGTCCAACTTGGCCTTGAACACTTCCAGGGATGGGGCAGCCACAGCTTCTCTGGCCAACCTGCAGCAGAGCCTCACTACAAATTAGGGAGTCTATTCCTGAACTCTGGAGGATCGTGGCTGGGGTAAAGGGAGGTGAGCTCATGCATCCAGGGAACACCCAGTAAATGAGGCAAAATGAAGATCCAGAGATACCTGGTGACCATTTCAGACTGATTTCCCCCAAAACAAAGCACTGCTTTAGATAGAAACTCTTACCCCTTGCTCTTGCCTGTAATATATTTGTAAGGGAATAGATGGAGAGAAATTAGAAAAAGAACACCCTAAATGGAAACCTAACACACAGATCCAGCTTGCTGAGGGACTGGTCCCTTCCCTTCGTGTGCTGCAGCCCCCCGAGGGGCCCCGAGTCAGAGCTTTCTGCAAATTACAGTGTCTGATTAAAATGCTCTTTGGGGAAAGAATAAAAAAAGCCACCAGGCAGCTCAGTGGGGGATTTCTGTCACACTCCCACCTCATAAGCTCTCCAGATGCCTTCAATCACCCGAGGCTGCCAATGCTCTGGTGGATCAACAAATTGCTGTCAGATGGTCCAACTCCAAACCCCTGGAGAGGGCTCAGGAGCAGCTCCATCGTGGGACTGGGGCAACCACCACGGGCTCCCTATCGTGTTATTCCAGCTGTTCCTCCGTGACTATCACACTTGCAGACAGCTGGGACCGGAGCCCACGTGTGAGACCTCGTGTGGTCCGAGGTCTGTGGCCAGGAGTCACACTGAGCTCCCAGGAGTCGCTGCCTTGCCAAAATCCTGCGTGGAACCTTGTGCTGGGGGTCTGCTCACACCCCCACAGCTGTGGGCTGAAGGGACTGGAGTCAGACTTCAAGGAGCCAAGCATCCATCTGCTGGTATTTGGAGAGGTGGCAGAAGAGGAGAGAAGGCCCAGAAAGCCTCCAAGAGAGCTGGAGAGGCACTTTGTAAAGGGTATGTATGGATAGGACAAAGGGGAATGGCTTCCCACTGCCAGAGAGCAGGGTTGGATGTGATACTGGGAAGGAATTCTTCCCTGTGAGGGTGGGCGGGCCCTGGCACAGGTTGCCCAGAGAAGCTGTGGCTGCCCCTGGATCCCTGGAAGTGTCCAAAGCCAGGCTGGACAGGGTTGGAGCAACCTGGGCTGGTGGAAGGTGTCCCTGACTGTAGCAGGGGGTGGAATGAGATGGGCTTTAAGGTCCCTTCCAGCCCAAACTGTTCTGGGATTCTGTGAAAGCACAGGCACAGGCAATGCCAGGAACACGGAGCAGTTAAACATTCTTGTACAGACTTGCCCTGCCCCCAAGGGCAGGGCTGCTAAGCTGACATGCCCAGGTGTTTATTCAGCAACCAGCCTTTCCATGTGACCTTTCCATCCCAGTTCCTTCCAGCTCACATTTATAAATGGCAGCCCAAACCAACAGCATTCTGGGGCAGCTGATTCACCAGCTCCTTGTGCTCTGGAGTTCCCTGACAGCTCTCCCATTAGACACTCGCTGGCCTTTCTACAAAGCAAAGCTCCCACTGCCCACAGATTTTCTGCACGGATCTCTTTTCAAGATCCATCTTCCCTTCTTTTCTGCCCCACAACCTACAAACTGAAGCTGGGTTTTTCCCATCCCAGGCAGGCAGGGAACATATCCCTACAGAGCTCATGCAATGCCCCAGGTGGGGCAAAGAGTTCCTGGGGGACGTTTTATCCTGAGATATCCCCATTCTCCTCTCGGCATTTGCCAGAACATGAGGAACACACCACCCTGGAGACTAATCAGGGATCAATCCCTACACCACCAAATGATGTCCCTGGACCTCTTGGCTGGGATGGAGCTTGAGTCCATGAGCTGTAGTGTAACCAAAGGGGCAGAAAATGGTAGTGGGGATGAGAGGGAAGGGTGGGATGGGGACCTGGATCTGCCCCAGCCAGACAGTGTCACTGGTCTCTGTCCCAGGGTGCTCAGTGCCTGCAGAAATCACAGTGAAGCAGCTCCAGGCAAGGCACGGTCTCTCCTTCCTCCACAGATGGGACAATATGCTCCAGAGCTGCTTGGGAAGACCCTGACTGACCAAATTACCTGGAGCAGCAGTTCCCCCTCAGCAAACAGCTCCCTGTCGGCCTGCGTGTCCGTCCGTCTGCTCCCCCCTGGGGCTCTGGGCTGATCCAGTGGGCAGCTGCCAGCCTTTGGAGCTGTGGCTGCAAGAGAGAAGGCAAGAAATCAGCATGGAAGAGGCAAGCCAGGAGCCTCTCCCTCCTCCTGCTCACCCCAGGGCTGCTCGTGCAGCCACACCACGCCATGCAGTGCCTGTGGACCCAGCTTGGAGGGAGGAGAGACCAGAGGGAACTGGCACAGAGCCCACTGACAGAGCCGTGCCCAACTTGCCCAAGGCTTCCTTCTGGAGATTATTTTCCCTGCTTGATCCCAGATCTGGGAAGCCTCACTTCTGCCAAGGTCTGAGGCAGAGATGCAAAGGATAGAGGGGAGCTAAGCGCTTCTGGGATGGCCAGGCTGGGAAACAACACCCATACAGCAATAACTCTTCATGTTAGAGCCTGGCAGAGCTGGAGTTCACTTCAATGCACCCCAGTGGGGGGCTTTCTCAGCTCTCCTGCCCTTTAGGGCTGAAGAAGGACAGAGGCAAACCTTTCCAAACCACCCCAGACATCACCAAATTACCTACGTTTTTTTTCTCCCTTTGGCTGCTCGGAAGCAGCTGCGAGGGTTGGTGACAGTCCCAGGACACCTGAGCAGCTCTCAGCTGCCAGGACTCGCTGCCATGACCTCCCCAGGCTGATTCATGTGCTGCCTCATGCTTCATTCCCAGAGGCCTTTAAGGCAACACAATTGGGTGAAACCTCCTCCTGCCCTGGCTGCAGGACCTTGAGCATCACAGGACATGCAGAGAACCGACTGTCCAGGGAACAGGGATGAGGATGGCGGCTCCCAGGGACATCCCCAACGTGGTGCTTCCTCTGCTGATTCTCACTGAAAAACCTCAGTCCAAACTCAGGACAATTTTAAGGCACGTTTTTGTGCCAGCTCAATGGAAAAACCCCCACAGATAAAGCTCAAAGCAGCCCCCACGTGGGAACTACCCACCTCTGCCACCAGCACGAGCTCCCACAGCGCCCCGAGGTCAGGCAGAGCTCACCTACCCCTGGGATCCACATGCCAGCAGAGATCACGGGTGCGTCAGATGGTGCTGCATGACCTTGGGTGGACCCAAAGGGAAAAGCTCCTCTGAATCTGGGGGAGCAGTAGGAGAGGAAGAAGAACCTCAAACCACCCCAAGCCAGAGCGTACGTTTAATTTTCTCCATGGCAGAAGGTCTCACTTCACCATCGAAAGGTTTTAAAGATTTGTTCCCTGGGAACACCAAGTTCAAAGCCAAAATAATTCAGAACCCAAAAAATTCCACGTGAAACTGCTGATATGAGACGTTTTGCCTCGCATCAAACCATCAGTGTGCAAAGGCGTTCCCCCTCATGGGTTGGCATGTTTGTATTACACCCCAGTTTGGGGCCAAAACACCCCTGGGATGTATTTACACGAGGAGCCTGAGGGACAAGGGCCTGCCCGTGCAGGCTGTCAGCAGGCAGGGCATGGGCAAAGGTAGGGCAAAGGGAATCAGCTGAAGGCCTTGCACAAGGTGGCACAAAGAGCAGTGGAGAGGATGCTCTGAGGCCACAAAGCCTTGATCTCTGTCGGTGAGTGAGTTGGGATACTTCAGCCTCCCCAAAAGCCTGATGCTCAGGCAGCACCGCCACCTTCTCCAGCAGTCACATCTTCTGCTCTTTCCCATCCTGTGCCCTCAGGTGGATCAGCCAGGCCAGGGGATCGGAGACCTCTGGGAAAGGCAAGCAGTCACCAAACAAAAAGCCTCCTCACTGGACTGCCATGTGATCCCCAAGTTCAAACATCCCCAGCCCATCTGGACTGTGGGTATGGCTTCAATTTACACTTCACAGAGCGGAACAATTTCAGAATGAAACATCAGCTCTTTTTCTAAATTTGATTTCTTTTGAAGGGCTGACTCCTCTCCAAAGCATTGAAACAAGGCAGGCTGGCAGGGGGGTTCAAAAAGGAAGGGGTTCTTCCAAAACCAAGGTGCAAAAGGGCAGCGGGTGATTTGAGAGGATGCACGTCCCAAGAACGTGTGGTCTCCAGCTCTCTCCCAGTGCCTGCAGCATCTGCAGGGAGAGCTGGGGAGAGCTTCTGTGGGCTTACAGAATCTGACAGCAAACAGGTCCAACATGTATCCAAGCTACAATGTACCCACAGCGATAGAAACAACTGCAAATAAAAAGACGATGCACTTTTGCTGTTTGTGCCCAGTTTTTCCAGTCTCCTGCTGCACATCCCTGAGAATTAATGGGAATTAACATGATGACATGGTGCTTGGGGATATGGTTTAGTGGTGGGCTTGGCAGTGCTGGATTAATGGTTGGACTTGATGATCATAGAAGTCTTTTCCAATCTTAATGATTTCGTAATTCCATGAAAAAGACCACGAGAAAAGTCATCTGCAGTACTAGATAAACTCCAGGCATATGCAGAAGCGATTTGGTGATAATTTCTATTTTCAAAGTGCTTGGATAAGGGTGTAACTCTCTGTGTGTAACTTCTTAAGATAGGAGGGGGAAATCCAGCTCTATCCTGAACCCCAGCACCATGAGAGCACTGGAGAAGGTTTCCTGCTGCTGGTGTGATCCCTAAAGACTGCAAAAGCTTTCATTCAGCCAGGGAAGATGCCAGACAGGATCAGTAATGTTTTCACCCCCCTTTGGGGACTTTCTTGCTTCTGCAAGGGGTTTTCTAAGCCCTGCAATGGACAAAAGTCCTCAAGCAGGAGAAAGAAGGAAAAAGGAGCAAAGCAATCCAATCTCTCCACTTTTTGCTTGTCACACATCCCTTGCCTCTGGCATGGATTTGGCACTCAAATAAAAAAGGGTTATTGGTAACACCCCCAGAATCAGTTCTGCTCTCACAGGTTGGGTTATAGTGGTGAGAGGTGCCAGGCTTCACCCACAACAAGCATTTCCCTTTGAACTGGCTCCAGAGGTGCCTGCCACCAAAAAACCAGGAGCTCCCAGCTCCTCCAGCAACACCAAGCCATGCACAACTGTTTTCCTCTTGGATCACATCCCACACCCCGTCAAATTAGCACCAACCTTTGCCCCAGCTGTTTAACAAAGGTATTTTGCCAAGCAGAGCAGGCTCATGCCATCCAAGTAAAACAGACAAACGCCAAAGCCAACAGATTAAAAACCTGTTAGAAAAAGCCACCCAGTATTTTCCAAGGAGCACAGAAATGCCCAGGAGAGCTCTGGCATTCCCAAAGCCAGTGCCAGCCTCTCTAACCTGCTGCTGCAAACGTTCATCCCACACAATCCTCCAGGATCTCACCCAGGGACAGATTTAAACTCGACTCCTTTCACCGCATCAGTTGCTTCAGGCCCGGACCCCTGCAGCTCTGGCCCACAGTAACAACAAAATATGAGGAGATTAATAAAAAAGCTAATTTAATGCTGATGGCAGCGAGATTGCCCAGTGAGACCCGTGCCAGCTGCCCTGCAGCGGAGCACTGGGAAGGAACTTGGTGTGACCAGCAGCAGCGGTGGGAAAGGACCTGGGGAGACCTCCTAAGCCAAGCCCCCGCTCCAGCAGTCAGCTGCAGTGGGTTTCCCAGGACCAGTCCCTGGCACAGATGGGGATCTTGGATCTAACCTTCCTAACTGCACCAGTGCAGGGATGGGGAATGTCCAGCAGGGGTCTAGGAGGATTCATCCTGCACTCCTCCACGGGCAGGTACACAGAGACCCACGAAGGCCAGCGGTGGCAGGAATATTCCACCCAGCTCATCCCCGTGGGAAGCCAGATGTGCAGGAGACAGTCTTGTTGCGTGTCACAGCCCGTGCAGGACTCTGCCCTGCCCTCCCTCAGGCTTGGGTAGCAGCCCAGATGTGTTTGGAGGAGGTTTGGTAGGAGGTGAAACACAAGGAGGGCACACGTGTGGCCCACACGTGGCCAATGGCATCTCCTGCCCCAGGCTGGCACTGGGCTGGGTGTGGGCCAGGGGGGGGACCCCACTATCCTCTGCTTGTTAGCAGAGGACTTGTCACAGGAACTGTAGGAAACAAACCCCAGCACAGCTCTCCAGCCAGATGCAGCTTTTCCAAGCCACTCAGCACTGACACCCACCCAAGCTTTCACGAGCTCTCACTGTTTGCAGCAAGTGGGGCTCCTGCGACACCACACAGAGCCCAGAGCACCACGGCAGTCACAGCACTGCCAACGTAGAGACAAGCTTTTCTCCCTGGGCACTTGCTCTCAAAGAAACAGGGATCAGCAAAGTCACTCCAGATTTGTCTGGGAGACCATCACACAGGTCCAAGTAGCAACCGCTGCAAATTGGTCTGCAGAGAGGAGCTCAGCACGAGGCTGGCACTGAGGTTCAGTCATTTTTTACACGAGTGACAAAACCTTCAGAGTGCCTCTAAGGCAGGTTTTGATAGTACCAGACTTGTCATTGCTATCCACCAGCGCTCAAAGGCCGGATTTGACGTGCAAAGCTTGGGAGACACCAGGCCCTGAGCCCCTGCTGTGCCACGTTTTATCCATGTAACCTCGGGTAAGATGGATTTGGAACTGGATGATCTTTAGGGTCCCTTCCAACCCAAACCATTCTATGGTTCTGTGGAAGTTCAGAGATGCCCAAGGCAGGCTCTGGCCCCGGGAGGGTGGAGAAGCCTCAGCTCAGTGACAAGAGCAAACACAGGAGTGCTCAGCTATGGCAGGGACCCCCTGAGGTACCCACGGGGCATCACCCACAGCTGCTGACAAGTGCATGCCAAAAGCAAAGGAAGAGGGAAACCTGGACTCCTGGGAAGAGTCAGCCCAGGGGTCACAGCCAAAACCAACCCAACTCAAAAGCCAAATTTCTTTTTTTTTTTTTTTTTAATTTCTTTTTTATTTTGCACAGAGAAACTGAGACACCAGAGCTGTGCAACACCTACAGCACTTGCAGCAGGGGACAGAGGACTTACAGCAGATGTGTGTGCCCAAAATCAGCCTGTGGAGGCGTGGAGGGAGCTCTGAGGGCTTCCCTCTCTGCACCCGAACCCTGGCATTTCCAGCAAGCTACTCATTTTCTGGTTTCTCGTTAAAGCACGGACAGAAGGGAGAACATTTAAAAGCAAAGCAGCTTTAAAAGGTGGTGCAGTAAGTCATTACCCTGTGATGGAAACCAGGGTCCCACCCAGGAGACAAGACCCCTTCCCTACTATCTGCCATGTAAGCAGGCACTGATGCCAGCATTCAGACCCACTGTGTCTTCCACTCTGTCCCAAACACTGCCCCAGACCCTGATGCCTGACTTCCTACACCCCATTAAACAGGTCAGTTCCCAAGCCAAAGGCATACAGTAACCACATACCAGAAATACCAGAGAAGCTGGAGACTTTGGAACCCCCTCCCTCATCCAGGCTCCATGCAGACAGCACAGGGAAGCTCCTCTCCAGGGATGGAGGGAGCACAAGAAATGCAGCACAGCAAAAGGAGCCTCAGGGCATCACCCTGTGAGCCCACGTGCAATTGGTCTATCAATTGCCTGGAGATAAGGCAATTGCCAGTCTATCAAAATATCCACTATCTCCTGCCTGAGATAAGGCCATATTTGGGCTGTGGATGGAGAGAGGGATAGGGAAGCTCACCAGGTGATGCCACGCTCTCCTGCTGCAGGAGAGGGGCCCGCACGAAGCAAAACTGGAGCAGAAAGCACAGTTCAAGGGGCTGCACCACATGCCCCCAAAATGCCTGAGGGGACACACCAGGAACAGCAACAGCCAGGAACAGGAACAGCCCTGACCTGCAGCTGACACGGGTCTTCATCAGGCAGGGCTGGAACCAGGCAGACCTTGATGAATCGAGGGGATGATCTGAAGTCCAACACGATGAACTTCAGGGCAAACAGGGGCAGAGCAAGGGGAAGGAGCTGGAAATCAAAGGCAAGTGGCCAAATGGGAGTAATTGGCCTGGCAGGACAGGTCTCCAAGGAGGAACACAAATCCCTGCAACGCAAATAAATTTTCCAGAGCAGCTGTCACGCTGGGAAGCACATGCTGAGCACAGCCAGCAGCAACCAGCTCCTGCTTGGAGGCACAGGACCCATCTGGAGAGTTTGGCACCGGGGTCTCCTCCTGGAGACCGGCATCCCAGCTGGAGAGGGCCCTGGGAGAGCCCCAGAGGGCTGGGCATGAGGCAAAAGCTAAGGAAGCCAAGTCTATTCAGTCTGCGGGGGGGAGAGGACACAACAGGAGCCTCCAAGCACAGAAAGCTGCTGCTGCCTTCCTGCCCTCCCCTCGCTCTGCCTCCACCATTGTCCATCACCCATTCCATCGATCCCAAGACACTGGAGACGAAGCCTGTCCCTGTCTGCACGTCCTGGTGGCTGGTGGGAATGTGGTGACTGCCCCCAGCCAGGCTCTGCACCCCCGTTTCCCCTCTTAGTCTCGACACGTGCTGGGTGCTGCAGCCTGTGGCTGGGTCAGGGAGCAGAGGGGATTCAACACTGCCAGCACTGCCTTGGACAGATGGTGTCCCCACACCATCACACCCTGCCACCACAGCATTCGGCTGCCTTCCTTCCCAGCCACCCATCCTGCATCTCAGACACGTGGGAACTGAACCCCATTCCCCAGGTTTTCCCCAAAAAAGCAGGTAAGAGAGGCAGAGACACTCAGCAAAGCTCGCTCTCGGTTCATCCTTGGCTTTGAGGAGCCCAAAGCACACCTAACGTGTGCAGAAGTCACCTTTCTTGTGCAAACACATCTTCCCTCTGCTGCAAGTGCCTCTTCGTGCCTCCACCATGTCCTTTGGGGTCCTGCTCCCAGGAGAGTCCCCCTGGGTCACAGCCTTTCTCACCCACACCCAACCCAGCACAGGCCCAGCACAGCCCTCAGCAGCTGCCAAGACACATCAGAGGTACTCAGGGAACAGCTGAGACCACAGACAAGGACAAGGACGAGGGTCCACCACACTCAGCTACTCTGGGTGCTCTGCCAGCCACCTTCAAGTCCATTCCAGAGGCATCACTGTTGTGATGCTCCAGCACTGCCCAGGAACGGGAGCTGGAGGTGGAGCTGCTCTGAGTCCCACCTGGGAAACCAGCTCTGATGGAGAGATCCCACTGTTGCAGCTCCAAGAGTGAGCTACAGCCCCAGGAGAAGGAGCTCAACCACCGAATTACAAAGAAAAAGACCTCCAAGATCATGGAGTCTAACCATCAACCCAGCAATGCCAGGTCCAGCAGCCCACAGACCCTGGGGGGTTTAAATTCAATTTACAATTTAATAATTATATATCATATCATATACCATTTATACAATATATGCTGTAACTTATGTATTACATCTACTGTAATTATAATACACTGAAGAAGACTGGATTGAAGACTGGAGTGAGAAAGACTGGACTGAAGCAGAATTGAAGACTTGCTTGAAGAAGAATAGGGAGGGAAGGACAGAGAGGAATAAATATAAGAATACCAAATATGGAATAAATATGAAAATACAGAATATGGAACACAATATCAGGGAATATGTATTATATTATAAATTCATAATTACTTAATAATGTAATTTTAAACTGCCGTTCCAGTTGGATGAGGGAATTGTTGCTGCTCAACAAGACATCACTCCCTTCTTCACCATGGGCTGCTGGGAGCGAGACACAGGAGGGTTTTTGGAAGTAATCGAGGGTGTTTGGATGTAAAGCAGGGATAGGATGACTGCTGATAAGATGGAGGAACTTTGCAGGAGGTCTCAGCTCCTGGGCAGGCACCCAAACTGCTCCCTCCATCCATGGTGACGTTCCTCTGCCAGTCATCCCTTCCAAGAGTGATGGGGTCGGGGTCCTCTGCTCCCAACACCCCCCAACTCCTCCCTAATCATTCACCTGCCTGCTCTCCAACCCTCAGTTTCCAAGGCTGAACTAGGTGGTCTCCCTGTCCCAACGATGTTGCTTTTCCAGGACACCAAGCGCCCATAACCCTCCAGTGATTTCTTCCAGAAGGGATACGGGTAAAAC